TACTGGTCACTGCTGACGCATACAAGGCGGTATCAATGGAGCTCTCGCAATACTCACTACTCAGTGCGGTCATTTCCTAAAGGCTTACCTCCAAGCAGAACGTTAAATCTCACATAGAACTGACGGTGGGCTTTGATTGCAACCGTCTCGCAGCTCTATTTTGCTCAAAACTAAGTTCTCAGCGAGGTATGTTGGAAGAAATTAGCCCACTACCCCGACAGAAAAACATGATTCGCCTTATAAAATAGTAGCTGATTAAAATGTAGTTTTAAGCATAAGCATTTTAAATCGAGGCAGTATACATCAGGGTCACATTTTATAGGTCGTAGTCCCTTAATAAGACACATTCATCATAAAGTTGCGAGCGCCAATATTCCTGCCCATGAAGTTGGTTCGGTTGAAGGGATCATACAAGCAGTTATACCACGAACTGGTTATTCAAAAAATTCGCTAATTCTCGCAAGCAATAACAGTATTCTTATACGATCCCGTTGCGTTTTATAACTTAGGTCAGGTGTTTAAGTAGAGATCAAATACGTCTGAACCAAAGGGAAATGGTCATTTAAGAGTCCATTCGAGAGACAATTTCAAGGTCAAAACGTTACCTAAAGGGAACCACATACACTGGCTTTAAGAAGTGAGGTTCTTTCATCTTGAAGCGGGGAAAAGTATAGAACGTCAAGGACCGATCGTTAAAGTCACTTTCACAAAAGGTGTTTCTGGCCAATATATTATGGATAGCCCGTAGCTTGCCAGAGAATTTAGCTGTGTTATTAACTCGGGACTAAACTAATAAAGCGGGCTGAAAAAGATCAATTCCAAAAACTAAAAAACAGCTCTCCCAATAACTCCGAAGACACAGATGGAAACTGTAAGAAGACACGGCGCGTTGTAAGATGAAATAACTATCTTGAGTAGTGCGGAGTGTTTATTCAGGTTACTTACAGTGCCAGGCTCTAAATACTGAATACTGCTGAAGAGCATGAATTTCATGACGAAATGCACGAAGGCGACGTGCTTGACAACGTGAAATGTATCCAAACTGCCGTTTGAAAAGCGCTCGACAATAAACCTCAAACTTTATGTAAAAACCGTAAGTTTTAGAATAATACCTTCCCTTGTACTTCAGATTAATTTAAGTACGATTTGAGCGGATAAGCCTCTCCCTGCAAACCAGGTGATGTTGGGAGAAACCTCATTTGGCAAAAACTGTTAATTTTATACATGACGTCCTGCAAACAGGACTGTCAAAAAGTGTGGTGCTATGTTTAAAACTATGCTCAAAACAGAAAAAGAAGAGTAAGGTCATTAAAACAATGACAGAGGCTCGGTAACTTGTCTCAGACAGGCTACGCATATTGGGTTCATGCCCCATAGAATGTGACACCCATATGTTCAAATATGATATTATCTACCCGAACAACTGCAGGTGTAGAAAGATAATTTAGGCTGGTGAGTAGGGTAAGAAAGTACGTTAGTTCAAATATCTTCATCTGTGAGGGCACTGGCTGAGAAAGCACCCGTGTTTTTGGTGTGAAATGACTTGCAATGAGACCGATTTCTGCGACATCTATCTCAGTGGTCCTTATTCTAACCATGTTTTGTTCGCATGTGGAGGTCAACACGACTAGAAATGGGTGTTGGTACAGTGGCTGACGTGGCAAAACCCACATCTACACACTCCACGAACATGAAACAGGCCTAAAAGGTTCGGCTCTCTCATCAAAGATATAGCACCATATGGCCATACTAAAGAGAAGCAACCGCAACACAATGCCCAAGCTTAAAGGAGTATTGAGCTACCTTGTCAAGTTACAGCCTCTGAAAGTTTCCGCTTTTTTGTGCTGTGGTGGTTTAAATATTCGACTGGTTTGGTAAAATGATAAAAGTAGGCGCTGTTGCGAGAGATTGCGGGCAGAGTGAGTCTCGTTCTCCCCTCTACCATAATTTATCAAAGATAAGTCAGAGGCTTACCTTTGGCACTTGACGTGCTTGAGTCCCCATGTGTGGACATAAACCAACAATACAACCAATTAGGGCCGATGATTGATGAACTCGGACGTACAAACAAACAGAAAGACCAACTGTCAACTGTAGCAGTCTAACTATTCTCTCCAGAGTGTGAGCTCGCTTATGACAAATCAGATGACCGAGTAACTCGCCAATTACAAGAACCATGGAATTCGACCGGTAGCTCAGGTGACTAGAGCATCGACTTACTGAAGGCCCACTCAGCAGCGCACGTACGAATTCATAGCAGGACTAGTAATTCCCAGGGAAAGTGAAGCAAATATTTACTAAGCTGAATGTTGCATTCACCAACGACGATTAGCCGGCATGAGACGTCGAAAAGCCGATCACAGGAATAGCCTTCCCGTATAATTAACGGCACGTACAAACAGGTTGATCGCACCGAGTGCGGTTCAAGAAATAATCCTAGAAGGTTATATTACTTGTCTCATATCTTTTAGGATAGTAGAAATACTTGAATAAGATAATAGAATTGCTACAAATAATTGAAATAGGAATTTATAATAATGTTGAGGAAAATCATGCACCACGGATAGTATTTGGTCAACCTGAACGTTAAGACTGTGATCTAGGAATATGAACAAAGCGAAAATTAAAGTTCATGAAGCAGCCTATCAGTATACCTTTCAGAGTATCAAAAAGAAACTTATGATCTGACATGCATGACAGCTAAGACTGAATGCCAAGTAAAATAGATGGGATAGGTCAGTCTCTAGAGAAGTTGCAAAGGATTTAATAAGAAACGGTAAATCTACGACAGCAGTCCGCAGCACGCAAAGCTCTCTTCATGCTTAAAAAACAAACGCTTTGGGACTGGCAGAAAAACATGGTATCCGTGGTGTCGTGAAGCAAAATTAAGCAGTAGAAATAGCAAGTATTTGTAAAATATACTAAAGTCAACCGCAATATCTACGACAA